CGACCTGCTAATTCCAGCTCTACGCACGACCTATGCAACACTATCCAGAGTCTGCTCGTTTTCAGAGCAGGCTCTCCTAAGAGCGTCGAGGGTCTTGGGCGGGAGATCCGGATGTTTGACCCCGAACATGGTCACCCCCGGCGAAGTGTTGTGCGCCCTTCCAGGTAAAAATGCTCGAGTGTCACTCGATGTCTTGCTAAATGAGGTGCACCATAAGTGTGGGCCTGTGCTGCAGAAAGACAGTCAACGGTCTTGTGGTGGTCCGCGCGCGCGAACGCTAGAATGCCACCATTTTTGCCGCCATACGCACCAGTATTGCAACGTGGATTATATGTGTGCATTGTATGTATGGTCAATAGGAACAATGCCGGCAGTGAAGATGATTGACTAAATTGGTGATAGTGGCCATCGCTTATTTTAGCATGTCCGTTTAATTAAAAGACCAGCCAAGAGTGTGCATCATATGAGCTTACAGGCTTTGCTCAGCGCATCGGAAGCGGAGCGGATTATCGGACAACTTGCTCCATGGACACTTGACGCTTGAAGAAGTAAGTGTTCGTCGGGAAGTCGTCTCCGCTTTGATCTATGTGCTAGTATCAAGTAGCTCTCTTCAGATAATCACGCTGGTGATTAGTTCAAAAGCAGGAGAGCCTCGTACTAACGTCTAACCGAAGAGCGCCTCGGAACGAGGCAGAGGCCAGCCAAAGCCATAGAATGAACCAACCTTGTAAGGAAATGATCAGCGTAATATTTTCAGTCGACAACCGCCTAATTTCGCTTGTTTTGTGACGCTGTACAACTTGTACACCTACAAAACCTCAGAATTTTTCGCATGTTATTCGTAGAAATGCATCCCATTGATTTTGCACCTTAAGAGCCTCTAACCAATTTTTTTACTTCCTGTCCTGCCCTATCCATCACGCAGGTGAGGTCCCAAATGGCACACACAGCACGAGTGGATCGAGCGACTGAACCTGCAGGTAACTAGACACCTTCAAACCATAAAGGGTTGAAGCTGATTTGGTGGTGCTGGCCTCATATTGGCATCGTACGCGTGCGGGAGGAGGAGCGCATTGCAACCCCTTACCACCACCCCTCTCTAGGGCTTAGTGGTGGCTGGTGGCCAGTGGGCAGTTGGGGGGTTTTGGGTCAAGGGGTGGCGGCCTGCTGTGAGTGCCGAATGAGCCCTTCCCCCCGTGGTAAGTCATCTCTCTCTCTTCCTCCCGACAAGAGGAACCCCTTAACCCTCCACACCTTTCAGGCCCACTACAATGCTCAGACCCACAGCGACGAGTTCGTTATGGAGCTGCTCGTGTCGCTCGACAAGATGCAGGTTTGTATGGGGTGTCTCCTCGCCATCATCCTCTTCAGCCCCTCGTCTTCCCTCGACCCCCCCACGCACACCCGCCCAAATTCAAATTCGAAATCAGGTTTTCGCCCACGGCCTGCTCCTCATAGATGCCGGAAGGAGTTCGTATACCCCCTGCTGGCGTCACATCTGGCCGAGCATGTGGACTCCGTGACCACCTACGTGCTGCTGTACCATGAAGTGACAGTGGCTGATCTGTTGCAGGTGGGGAGGAGGGGGGAATCAGCTGATGGGGGAATGCAGGTTGGTTTAGATCGGGTTAGGCTGAGGTTTGTGGACAGTGCGATATGGCGCTTTTATGTGTTGATTGTTAAGGTTGCGCAGCGGAGTGGACGCATTGCGTGGAAAACACTTATTGATTCGTTTGTACATAAGCTTGTTAAAGTAATGGAATCTGAAAAGTCTGAAATAAAGCTTGCCGATATGTTTCTTACCAAGCTCTATCCTATTAAGACGCACATATGAAAAAAACGAATAATATGAAATACCAAAGAATTCTTGATAAACACGATCTAGGTTATTCTAAACTTGGCACACTCACACAAAACACGCACGGGGCTTTCTTTCCAACGTCTTTCCCCTCCCTTCCCCTCCCCCCACCTTTCCCTTTCCCGCAGCTAATGGCCGCCTGAGAAGTATGTTGGGCAGCAACTGCCCTTGGCTTCCCCTTGCACATCACAATATGATGATGATGATGATGATGATGATGATGATGATGATGATGATGTTCCCCCCCTCTCACCCTCACTTCTCGTCCCCACCCCTGCTGCTAGGTGGCTCTGTACCACTCCCACGCCGCCAAGTCCCTATCCGAGGATTACGCCCTGGAGCTGGCGGATTGGTGCTACAGGAAACTGACACGTCTGAACGCGGAGGGCCACAAGCTGGCGAGCCCAGGGGTAGGAGGGAGCCGGAGGGGAAGGGGGGACGGGGTTTTAGAGGGGTAGAGGGGGGTAAGGGGGGGTTAGGTCTAAAAAGACCGGCGGGAGAAGAGCGGCGCAATGGCCTTGGGCTTCCTTTCTTCCGCATCCCCTCGCTCCCAAAACCCTCACTCATCCGCCCGCCCGGACCCCGCCTCAGACCGCACCGCGGAGGAGCTGCTGTCCATGAGCAGATTGGACGAGCAAGAGGAGAAACGGCGGGAAATCGAGTTCAGTATCACGATGTGCAGTCTGGCAATATTGCGGTACGTACGAGAAATTGTGGGATATTTAGCTGGAGTGGGGTGGGAGGGCTCGGGGACGAACCTGCGTTGGCTGGGGTAAAAGAGGGGAAAATGAGTTTGGAAGGTTTTATACATATCTGTACACGCGCATGCATGTGTGTGTACGGGAGGGCGTGGCTTAAACTTTCGGTTAGCAATCCGCGCACGCAAGGCCAAAGGTTTTTTTACTTCACCTTGTTTTCGCTGTGGGCTTTTTCACGCGTCTGTCCATCCCACACCGAAGCCATATTTTATGCAAGGCCGCCAGCCACGCGCCTGCTGTCTAACTGCCGCTGTGTCTTAGCCTTGGAGGGCAGCGATCTAAAAAGATGCAGCCGGGAACAGGGAGGCTGCCCCGACAGAGCAGCTCAGGCCCTGTGCCAAGGCGCTTTGCGGCAGCCACAGCCCAGCCCGAACAGCCTTTCCTTCCACACAGCGATGACAATACCTTCGACATTGAACAACAACCAATATGTTTTCCCAACGATCACCACAACGATATTTTTTTCGAAAGCAGCCGCAGCAACAACAGCAGCAACAAAGGCAACATTAGCGAATGAACTTTATGGCGGCAGCTCAAGCACGTTACCAGCCTTTGCAGCCGCACCCACAGCCACAGCCACAGCCACAGCGGGCAGCATCTTGCCGCAAGCCATCTCCACGGCGGCCGCCCCTCCTGCCCGCCCCTCTCCGCCCGCGCCAACCCCCTCCCTGCAGCCATCCGGGCACACGCAAAGTCAGTTGCTGCACCGCGCGCGTGAGCTGGCAGACCAGCTGCAAGCACTACGGCATTATCACGACATGTGCCGACGGCGGCGACAGCGGCGCTGTGGGGGCGGTATGAGGACCGTCAGGACGGTGTGTCGTCGCCGCTGCTACCTGGCGACGCTAGCGACGAGGACGACTTCATGGTCGAGGACGAGGACACTGGCGGCAAGGATGCGGTCGCGGGTCCCTCCTCCGTCTCCGCAGACCATGCGGATGGCCTTGTGGAGCAGCTCAGGTCCGTACTATCAGCACTTCGCGCCGCCATGCCGCGGCCTTCTTCAGCCGCGGTCGCCGCCGCCGCCGCTGGCGGCGGCACTGGCGGCGGCGTACCGCCAGCGGCAGTCCTGTCTCCGGACCATGAAACAGAGTTGTGGTGCATAGCGTCCACTCTTTGGACTGCGCCGTGGGGCTCTCTAATGTGGAAACCTTGCGGGCGGGTAGCGTTAACGTGTCGGTGCAGCTGTGTACGACACGTACGGCAGTCCCAGCGGCAGCGGCGGCACCAGTGGACCAGGGAAATGGCGGTAGTGACGGCGGTGGTGACGGCGGCCGTACACGGGCGGGGAGTCACGGCCGACGCATCCGAGTGCTGACCTACATCCCCTGTGTACGGCACCTTGCCTGCGATGCCGCCGCGCTGATTCCCGTACAGCGGCTGCCGGCGCCGCCCCATGCCGCCGCCAGCTTTGGCGATCATCAATACCATCATCATTACCATCGTGCGGTGGAGAAGGCGCGGTGGCGGCTGGCTTTCAGTTTCGCGGCAGGTCGCTCCTGGTTGCGACTTTCGCATCCGGAAAGCGCGTAGATGTGCTTGTCCCGAGATGAACATATATGCATACATACGTGCGTACATACATCTCGACTAGCGCTCACCCGTCATCATGGCTCAGGCCGTTTCCAGATGTATCGGGGAAAGCTAATCGACATATCGACGTGCTTCGAAGATCTTTTTTTCGATTTTAAATAGTTGCTGCCAACGGCTCGGGGAACATGTATCGATCCGCCGCCGCCGGTGGTGGCGGCGGCGGTCCTGCCACCACCACTTCCGCTGTCGCCGGAGGCGTTGGCGGCGCCACCTTGCCGTACTCCGCAGATGGCCTGAGCACCGTGGATCGCGAGGAGCTGCTGCTGCTGCAGGTGTTTGAGTGTCAACTGACGCGGACTCAGGTGCTGTGGAGACTGGGCCAAGAGGTACGACGGCGGTTGGTTAGTTTTTTGGTTGGTTGCTGGCCGTTGGTGGTTGCGTGGGCTTAAACCGGGCTTATACTCATGGCGTCAGAAGCGCAGAAGGCAGAAGGGTAAAGACGTTGGTGGGGTTGTTTGTGTGGGGTTTGGGAAGGTGTGGTCGGGGTCGGGGTCGGGGTCGTGGTCCTTGAGGAGAATCCAGGGGCCCGGCAGGAAGGGAGGAATAGATAGGGGAGAGGGAGGGAGGGAGGGGGTCTTCGTGCCTCGATGTGATCGTTCGTGTTCGCGCATCATCCGCTGAACTCCCATACCCCTTGCACATGAGGGTAGTCCTAGGATGGTCGAAGTGGAGGATGCAAGCGGGTCGACAGGGACCGCGACAACGTCGTGATGTTCTTGATTGTCCCACAGCCTTCCTCCCATATTGCTAATGGGACGCTATAGTTCAATTGACGCCGTACATGCAGGCCCTCGCACGGCAAACCTTGGCGGAATGTTCGTCCATGGCTCGGGATTTGCAAGACGCCAGGTCGGTGTGCAGAGGATTATGTTTGTGTTGTTGTTGTATGTGGAAGGGGGTTTAATCTTGCACATCGTACGGGAGTAAGGCATGTATGCCGAAAATGTCGGGGGGTTGTGTCCAGTTCCTGTGATTACCCCCATCCCGTGGTTCGTCTTCCCTTTTTCCCCCGTTTACACAGGTGGCAGTTGCCGAGACGTGTCGCCCAGGGCAGTTGACCCTTCTTTCCTTCTCCTTGATCCCATCATTACGATAACAATTACAATAAAAATAAATGTAAATATATTATTTATCATATTATATAGAATGATATTATTTGTAATAATGACAATATAAATTATAATATTATCAATTATAAGTAATAATATTATAATCATTGATCATTAAAATAATTAACATAATAATGTTAGCTCCTCCCTTTCCCCCTTTCCCCCTTCCTCTCCTCCTCAGGCCAGACCTCTCTTGTGTGCTCACCGGCTGGTTAGCCCAGGTGAGGAGCGGCGGCAGCAGCAGCAGTAGCAGTAGCAGCAACGGTGATTATAGCCGTAACCGTAGCTGTAGCAGCCGCACGGTAACTTGTACGGCAGGAACATTAATAGTAAGGGTGCAGGAGGCAGCAGTGGTGGAGCATTAGCTATTTCAATGTGTGCGTGTCATGTTTGCGCAGGGGCCATTAGCTATTGCTGCGGCAGCAAAGTGGAGTATCGTAGCTTGTTGGCTGCCAAGGCGCTGGTTTAGGCACCTTGCCGTACTTGATTTTGGCTCGTATCTTCATGGTGTCCTTGCTTGGATGTACATCTACGTGTACTACATGTACGGCACATGATTACGTTCTTCCTTCGCATGAAAAGACACTGCTGGACCAAGCTGTAAACATAGCGACGGGGGGATGGTCGCCCGCCGGCGGCGCTGCTTCTCGCGGCGGCGGCGGTGGTGACTCCGCGGCGTCGGATCGCGGGCTTGGCGTTGCAGCCCAAGGCCGCCGCCGCCGTCACCGCCAGCGGCTGCTGGAGTCAGCTCTGGCGCCGCCAGTTCCGGTGCAGCGGCGGCGGCAGCGTCCCTTTTAGAAGGCGATGACGCCGGTGAAGATGGTGGAGAGTACGACAATGTGTACGGCAGCGGTGCTGGCGGTGCCGGCGGCGGCCTGGCTCTCGTTGATCCTGCTGAGGCGATACCCCTCCTTGACCAGGTCGGTGGGCGGATGGTCCGGTCGGCTGGTGTGGGGAGATGTGTGTGTATGTGTGTGTGTGTGTGTGTGTTTCGGGGGAAGGGTCTCCCTCTCCTCGGCCCCGGGGCGCGTGCACAGCCGTGTACAGCCGTGTATAGCCGTGTACAGCCGTGTACAGCCGTAACGCCCCCATTGGTTTACCCTTCCCCCTGTCCACCCGACACCCTTCCCCCTCTTCTCTTCCCCCCGTCCACTTCTTGCGGTAGGTCGCCCCTCGTAGACCCCCTCTGCGCTCCATCTTGCATGGCGGGTGTTCCACGCGATTGTCATCCCGTATGTGTACGTATGTATGGAGGGGGGTATTGAGGGAGGGGGACGCCGGTTGTGCTTAGGATGAGGAAAATGGCACTACCGGGCACGGGGCAGAACAATGACGTGTGTACGAGTGTGTACGAGTGCGTATGAGTTCCCAGGAGTCTGAGGGAACCCTGAGAAGCCCGTCCAGAAGTTCATTCTGGCATTGGTACACCGTACATCATGACTTCCATAGTTTCGTCACTCCCAAAGCAACAAGGTGCGATGAGGAGCCGAATAAAAAATACACATGCGCTGTACTTCTTTCCCCTTCACCTTCTCTGATGCCAGCCCTGGGACGCTCCCTCGGCCCTCCCCTGCCCCCTCCCCTCCCCCCCCCCGGCAGGTCCTGATATGGCTCGCTCTGTGTCACCAGGCCGCGGGGGACCCCGACGTGTGCCTGCTGTGTGTGGGGGCGCTGAGGGAGGCGGGGTCGGTGCCGGGGGAGGGCCCGGAGCTGGAGGCCCTTGAAGTCAGGTGAGGTAGGTGGAGGGGTGTGTGTGGGGGGAGGAATGGGGAGTAACGTGTCTGTGTGTTTTCTTACGTATCCCTGCCCTTAGTACCCATGTACCTCTGTCGGTTTGATAGGTCATTAAGGCGCTTGTATGCGTTACTCTACAACCAACCTTCACCTCCCGAAACTGCAACTTCCCAACCTCCAACCATTTCTCCAACCTCACGCTTCCCACCCCACGCCGCTCCACCCCACACGCCGTCTCAGGGCCCTTGCTGCGACGGGCACTCATCCCCTGGAGGAGCTTGTGGCGGCAGAGGAGGTGCTGGCCAGCCGGCCTGATGCAGCTGTGGAGGTGGTCTGGGAAACACTCCAGTCGCTGTGGAGCAGTGACCCGCGGGTCAGGGAGGCGCCTGAGGTACGGACACACACATCTCCCTCGCCTGAGGGTCCCCGGAGGTTTTCGGCGATGTAGACTTATATAACCCTAGGACTGCGCGGCCGGACAGCTTATGCACCTAGGGTCCGTAAAGGGTAAGGAACGCATATCGGGTGGGCTCCGCTCCCCTTCCCGGTCTCCCTTCCTCCCAGCCCAGTGGTGCGGCTGCTAAACAACTTGGGTTTTAGAGTTTTAGGGTTTAGGGTGGAACTCCTACATCAACATACTCGGGTCTAGCCCTAACGAAGGACCGTGATTGCCTGTATCTGTTGTTGCCTTCATTCTCTCTGTCCGGCGCCGGTGGGACCCTGTGGGACCCTCACGTCGATCGGCAGGCGCTGTGGCCGGCTGTAGCGGCTTTGCAAAGTCGGGTGCCGCATGACGCCGCCTTCGCGCTCGAGTTCCTGCAAGCCGTGTACGACATTCGCATGACAGCGTCTGCGGTACGACACCTGCACCTTATCGGGCCCAATGCAAGAAAAACTAGCAGCAGCAGCAGCAGCAGCAGCCTGGCGGCCCCCATTGCGAGATGTGTTATTTTGCACCTGTATGGCGTTTATACGATGAGGTGGCAAACCCTCTTTCGTCAGCCAGGGTTTAGGGCTGCAGCCGCAACCTGCCGTACCTCCCTTGCATGATCGTGTATTCAGATGGGTGATTGCCGAATTTGAATGTGTGGGGATAGACTAACTCCTGGAAGGGCTTCAATCCCCAAGTTGTGGTCCGTAGCTACTTTGTGCGGCGCTGTGTACGATACTATATGTATGTACGACAAACACAAAGCAGCACGTGACAATTGGACGAGCGGGAAGGCGGATACGGACCGGGGCTATATATGGAGTACACTGTGCACATCTCTACTGGGGAGAAGGAAGTGATCATGTGGCGCGGGAACAGGGGACTGTGGGCCAAGAACGCGTCAAAGTGTCGTATTGTCGTATACAGATAGTCGCACGCCCCGAAACGGCAGGTTGGTGTTGGCGGGGCGTCAACGTCGTCGACGGGGCCGGCAGCGGCGGCGGCTGCGCAGAGTGAGGTGCTGGCGGCGGCCGACCATTTGCCGCTCTCTGTCCTGGGCCCGCCTGAGCAGCGGCGGCGGCATCGGCGCCGGTAACGGGTGGTGTACCGGAGGCTGTACGGCGCTTGTGTGACGGCCACCCCTGTCTCGGTCATCCGCCACATCGCCATCGGGTTGTAGAGATGGAGGAGGCGGGGAAGGAGGGAGTGGAGGAGAAGTGTCAAGAGAAGCGGGACGAGGAGCGGGAGGCAACTCGGGCTCAGCTGCGTCTGGCGGCGTGGGTGCTGGTGAGAGTTAGGGGAGAAGGAAGGGGCTGGGGGGGTTGAGGGGGCACAGGGCGCCAGAGTACGGCTTTCTTTCTGTCCTCTTGTCTGTCCGTCTGTATGTCTGTATGTACATGTTTCCTGCGATCGCCTCCGCCTTTGCGAGGCAGGTTGCAGCACGACTTCACATCCCCTCCGCCGCCTCCACCACCCCAGTGCAGTTAGTGCCCACGCCTGCTTGCACGGGCAGTGCACGGGCACTCTCCATCTCCAAAGCCGGACATCCGCAGCAGCAGCCGCCGCCAACGTTGCCCGCTCCCGCCGCCGCCGCCGCCGCCAGAGTGTGTTTCCTTCCTTCCAACACGAAAGGAAGTAGAACATGACAAAAACGAGACCAGAAGAGAGAGCATCCCTTCATTCCAACACGGAAGGAAGTAGAACAGAAGAAAAGAGACCAGAAAAGAGAGCATCCCTTCCTTCCGACCTGGGACGGAACAAAAGAGATAGCAAGAAGCGAATAGAGCCCGCTTCCTTCCGACCTGGAAGGAAGTAGAACAGAGGACAAGAGATAGAAAGAAGCCAAAGACCACGCAACCGGACGCAACGGAGCTTGGCGTACCAGACGCAACCGAAGCTCTGATGCACGGGCTCCTCGTTTACCCCCTTGCTTGCTTAGCTGCTCCCAATGTGCCATGCTCTGCTTTGCTCACTGTTTTCACTTGCAGGTTATAGCACTAAGGCCGCCCTCTCAGGCGATCTTTGCTCGCTGCTCGCAGATCGGCCACCTTCGCCCATTGCTCCGCCTAGCGCCTTTACCGTCTGTCTCATGCCACCTATACAATGCGTACTGGACTAATCTTCTAGCAGCTCAATCAACGCACGTATGCTTGCTGTTCCGCTCTGGTCCCTTTCCCTTGTCGTTGCCATGGCGCTTAGTCGGCCGAATACTATCACTCTCTTGCCACGCTGCGCTGGCTTCCCCTTCCCCTCTTCAACCAGGTAATGGTGCTCGGCGGGCTGCGGCGGGCATCCAGCAGTTTCCGGAGGTCAGAGCTCGGGCAGCGGCTGCGGGCCCTAGCCTGCTCAAACGCATAAAGGACACTGGCTGTACAAGACCTTCCCGACGGCCTGATGCTGCGGCGGCGGCCCAGGCCTTCCATCGGCATGCAGCCAGGTTCTGGAAACTGCGTAACCGCTAGTTGTCACAGCCAGTGCAACGTGCATCACCGGCCTCAGTCCATGTGGACGCGGGCCAAGCTCATTATCCTGTCTCGTTCATTACGCTCACGCTCTGCTGTTTGCTGCCTTTCTCGAGTTCGGGGTCGGGGGTTTCTCAGCTAACAGCTTTATTTTTCTTGTTGCAGCTGTACAACTGATACTGTTCCTCTATTTCCTGCCTTCATCGCTGTGTTTGTGTACGCTTGAACCTGCTGCTGGCTTCAGGAACCAGGGCTGCGTTGCACACGACCGTTGTCTGCATTGCTTGTTAGCATGCCTAACAACATCACACAAGTGGCTTTGAAGCCTGTGTTAGGGTGAAAGGTGTAATAAGATAAGCACTGCAGCATGCAATAGGACTGCAAGCAAACTATGTGCTTGTTTTGTGAGTCTCTCTGCGCACCGTGACGCATGTTGCGTTGTATGGCCGTGCAGGCTGCTTGGCGGCAGGCTTGTGTTCTGCATGCTACGTAGCTGGCGGCTTGCTGCAGGGCTCGACGACTTCCTCCTTGCATCGTCCTCGGCATGGTCCTGCTGCTGTTCTGTTGCTTTTCTCGCCCTCTGCCGCCATCCTTGTTCTTCCGCTTGTCCCTTCCATCGTCCTCTGTCGTGTCTGTGAGGTTGTGCTAGCTTGAATTCTCGCTTTGGTGGTCTCTTTATTGGCTGTCATGATGCTGCTTGCCGTCCTGTCGTCAGGGTCTGCTTGCTGCTGACCTCCAGTCCTTGTAAGTGGCCTCACGGAAGAATTTGCATGGACTCCAAACAACCTGCCCTCTCTGCTGCCCATTACCCGCGACTCCATTTGGCACCTTCCCTCGCCCTTCTTTCACAGTGCCGCCGCTGGGTATGCCCCCGGGCATGCCGCCACTGGGGATGCCGCCACCGGGCATGTGGGCCCCCGGCCAGTAAGGAGCCGGCAGCTGCTGAGGAGAGCAGCAGCTAACGGTTGGCCCGATACGGATATGGCCCGGCAGCATAACAGAAGGGCAGCAGCTGGTGGCCGGCTTTTCAACGGGGTGTCGTCCTGGCATGTGGCCCAGCAGGCCCAGATAGGAGTAGCAGCTGGCATGTGGTTCTCTACTAGGTTGCAGCTCTGGGATGTGGCTCGGCGCTGACCTGCAGCCGATGCCTGCGTCTTGCACCATCACTGCGGTGGCTGTCAAACATGACATTCTTGGGTGCATGTCGGGATGGAGCCGGTCTGGAACGTTTGCAGCTGCCACGGCTGTGCTGTGTGTTGGCGCCTCTCGTCTTGTTGTGTGTGGCCGGCGATCTGGGGGGGGGCCAGGCAGAAGCTGCGGCAGCGAGCAGCAGGACAGCTGCACACACGCTGGTTCGCCAGGCCTGCCTGTGCATGCATGGCGCTGTCTAAAGTTTCAAGGAGCCAACCGGCTGTCGCAGGCTGTGGCTGCTGAAACTGATGTTTGGGTTTTGGTATCAGGGTGGCCCGTTCAGGCGTATGGGAGAAGGCGCTACATGGAGCATGCACGAACTTCTGTGTTGGGGGACGCTAAGAGCGCTTGGGACGCTAAACCGCTTGGGGTAAGATCTTTACTGAGGTGTGTTGCTTCCAGCCTTGCAAGCCGGCTACGTATTTGCGGCGGTGACAACTGTGTTCACTTCATAGTGCTGCAACGAACACCGGAGACCGCGACCATCGGTCTGGCCCCCGAGTGTCTGGTGGCAAAGCACAGGCTCCCGGCCGTACTTGCTGAGGACGGGCTGGATATGCCGCTGTGCTGTGTATATCTAATGTAAACAATCGCCACTGTCACGGTTACGTATAGTGCACGATTGAACACCATGATCCAAATTGGGCTTATGTATGAGCCAGTAACGGCTGTATGATACAGGTAGGTGCGGTAAATGGACTCTTAATCAGATCTGCAAGGTCCCAGCGTGCTGAAGTACGGAGGCTTCGGATCATCAAGTGTGATTCAGCTTCATAAAATTTTCCATAGTTTCCTAAAACTGCTTGAGGGCTGCTATAACGCTTCTGTTTACCTTCGTCTGGGCCAAGCTGTGCTCATGTAGTGGGGGTGCTCACGTGAGCCAATGTGTTGGTGTTTCCACTTGGCCGCACACTAACATTAAGTTAAAAAAATCTCACACCTGGCTCAGCAAATCACCCAAGCGATAAGAAACTAGTTACTTACTTTAATAGAAAGTAAAAGTTCTCTTAAGAAATCGCGTAAAGGGGCTCCGTACGTGAAAAGCTGAAGGGCCCACTGGAAACGCCTCGTACATTAAGTCCGCATTAGTGGCACACTAGTTATCAGGGCCTCAGACCTGCTGATAACTTTCAAAGTGGACATTAACTTCCGAGGGGGAAAATTCATAGTCAGCCATTTTCCTTCCCTGAAGGCCCTTCCTTGACTTTTGTATTTTCCTTTATTCACAGCCGCAAATAGCCCGCTGACCAGCGGAATTCCGATCATGACCGGTCGAACTGCCTACATTCCAGCAATTAGCCGACCAAACTGTATTGATTTGTGCATTAAATTACACCCACTCTTACTATAACAATGGTTTGGTGCCTTAATAGCAACCTGTCGTATGGTTCCGGGGCGCTTAGTGGAAACACCTGTTCAATCGCCACACACTAAGTCCACGTTAAAGATAATATTGGAAAGTTAGTGTGCGGCCAAGTGGAAACACCCTGTTAGTTACCACCTATACAAATTGCAACAATGGGCCCCAAGAAGCGGCCTTCTGAGGGTGGGGCGTCATGCGCCTCGTCCAAAAGGCAAGCCTTGTCCAAAATGTCCAGGCCGGCATTTGAGACTAGGTATGCTGGCTGGCTGGCTAAAGGCCTTGTTGGTAATGCTATACTGTTAAAAAAGAGGAAGCTGAAGCTGCCTTATGATGAGGTCATCGATACTATTTTCCCAAAAGTGTTCAAGGATGTCCTCACAGCAAGCGCGTGTGTAATCCAGCCCCCGAGCCAAGAGCGGCCCAAGTACTTAATCTTCTGGGAGCTGCTTAAAAACCTGCTTTCATTCCAGCCACTGGACAAGCTTTTCGGCGTCTTCGTTGGTGGTGACGATGAGGAAAGCGAAGATGCCAACGTGAGCGACGAGGAAGATGACGAGGACGAGGATGATGATGAGGAAGATGACGAGGAGAATGACGAGGAAGATGATGAGGACGAGGATGATGATGAGGAAGATGACAAGGAGGATGACGTGGAAGATGGTGAGCACGGTATGTGGGTTGCACCCTTTCAGTGTGCGCATCTTCGCATGTTGCGTACACGCCCCCGACCATGGTCCCCAGAGCCCAAAAGGGAACGCACCCGGTCAGGAGTCGGCAGACTACGATGTTCGTCGGTCCAGACCTGCCTTGAAATCCCGGATCCTTCCATTCTGCCGCTGTTTGAGCTGCCATACAGCCTTAGGACCCATCAGCAGTACCTCTTGTGATTTCTGCAGCCGGCATAACGGAAGGACCCGTTGCACCCGTCTGATTTGCCGACACCTGCACCCGGTTGACCCTATCACACATGCGTGCTCGTCATGTGCGTCTCGTCATGTGCGTCGTGTGCAAGTGTGCTATATGTGGCACACCTCAGTTGTGCCAGCCTACTGCCAGCCACTCAGGAAAGTAACATAGGCACCACCAGGGCTATGCTCTGTTTGCACCCTCGCTTGCCTGTCTGCTCGCTACGGCAGGCATCCAAAGCCCTAGCATGCCCTGGAGGCCAGACTCTCCAGAGGCTCTCTTGCCACTTGCCACCTGCCCTAACCAACCAGCCTATTGCATAGCAGGATTACCTAACATCACTGCGCAGCCTAGCTGCTGGTGGCACGCCTTCCTGCTGGTGGCACACTCATGCCATGAACCTGGGGGCTAGGGGGTGTTGCCACTGCCGTTGTTTGGAGTTGTTACAGTACCAGTGCACTAGCAATGAAAGCCAGCCCTGCAGTTGCAGGGGAGAAGTCACAACTTTACAGCAGAACCACTGTCTGCCTGCTGCTCCAAGGCTGATCTGGCTGTCTTGATGGTAAACCAAGGCAGCAAACACAGCAAATGAGTGCACACACACACCAGACACACTGCATTGTCTGCTCAGGCACAATGTTCAGATGAACCTAGGAGCATGTGTGGCGTGGCCTGGCTTGAGGCTGCCTCGCGCATGTACATGTAGGTGTGCATGTATGGTTATGTGCATGCACCCGGTGAGCCACATTCGCAAGGGTAATCAGCTCAGCACTCGGCTGTTAGGGTGCAAAAGCAAATGTGCAGGCGGACGCAGATGTCCAGTCCAGAAGATGGATGCTCATCACAGGTGAGCACCTGGCTCCACCAGCTCACATGGCACTTGTCCCTATGAACACAGAGGGGGGTTAAGAACGTTCTTAAGTCATTCTTAGCCCAGCCAAATTGATAAAATTGAATAATCATTAGAACATTCTTACACTGTTCTAAGAATGTTCATATGACCTCCGTTTATCTTAAAACCGTTCTTTCAAATTCTTTAGCATTCTTCAGGGCCCAGCAGTCTTACGTATTCTCTTCCATTCTTTGGGGTGTTCTTATACATTCTTAGGCCAACTTATTGATTCTTTGTCTAAAGCATACTTAGCTGCTCTTTGGCCGGTTTTAACTGTTTTTACCATAGGTTCGCTAAGTATGGCATTCATTCTTAAGTCATATTCTCAGGAAATTCTTTTTGCTGCGTACATTCTTAAGCCTTAAAAATGTGGGATTCTTAAGGGGTGGTCATGATGAAAAAGCCATTCAGACACATGTACTGACCTTTGCTTTCTCACCTGTACTTCTACTGGTAGGCGCCCTTTTCTGGTATCTGCAGACATCTTACATTCAATTCCACGTTATTAGATGTACTTCGCTGGGATCGGACCTAAGACTACGAAACTTTTGTGCTGAAACCTATCACTATACCTATGCTTTAAGAAAAAGACACCTTAAGATGCTAAAATCTGTCGCAAGACACCTAAGTTCTTTATCTATGCTAAAACGTGTGTGTATACTGTGAGCTGCACCAAGTGCCGTTCATGAACATATGTGCGTGTATGACAAACAACTCAACACCTGTTCAGCAACTCAGCTATCAGCCCTGGCCCCTGTACAAAAGAACTGGCGTGCAGCCTGACATGGCCACATACCTGCTGCAGCCCACTGCCCAACACCATCCCTGGCTGCTGCAGCTGCATGAAAAACAAGAGGCACCCCGAGGCCACTGCCATGTTTAGCTGAATCCAAATGGAAGCATCCTTGCTTGCCATGGAGAGGCTGGCAGACTCATGTGTTTTCTACAAGCCCCCACAAGAAGAGTTTGGGGCTACTGAAACTGTAGCAGTCACTCACCTGGGTGGACGACTGGCTTTGCGGAAGCATGGAATTTAGAGTCCTCGCTGAGGCAGGAAGAAGTCCAACCCAGCGACAAGCACTAGCATACATAGACCCGTACGAAACAATCTGAGATGGCGGCAGCAGAGTCTTGAACTCTGAACACCAAGTAGTCGTGATACTGAAGTGCCTCACCATAGCACCCCACCCAGGTAGCTTACATCTCGGCCTACCTGCCGGAGATTCCCTACTATGTTCCTGCCATGCTAGGATACTGTTGGTGTACCCTCCGGTGGCAGGGTGGTACAGGAGGGTATCCTCCGGTGGCAGGGTGGTACAGGAGGGTACCCTCCGGTGGCAGGGTGGTACAGGAGGGTATCCTCCGGTAGCAAGGTGGTACAGGAGGGTATCCTCCAGTGGCATGGTGGTACAGGAGGGTATCCTCTGGTGGCAGGGTGGTACAGGAGGGTACCCTCTGGTGGCAGGGTGGTACAGGAGGATATCCTTCGGTGGCAAGGTGGTACAGGAGGGCATCCTCCGGTGGCATGGTGGTACAGGAGGGTATCCTCCGGTGGCAGGGTGGTACAGGAGGGTACCCTCCGGTGGCAAGGTGGTACAGGAGGGTATCCTCCGGTGGCAAGAAGGTAAAAGAGGGTATCCTCCGGTGGCAGGGTGGTACAGGAGGGTACCCTCCGGTGGCATGGTGGTACAGGGGGGTACCCTCCGGTGGCAGGATGGTACAGGAGGGTATCCTCCAGTGCCACCCCTTTGACACCGAAGGTTCTCCCCAAAGGGGAGGAAGCTTATCCCTTACGGTGTACCTCCCATGTCCCTTGGGTGTCCCTTCCCCGTGTCCTTTGGTGTCTCTTCCATGTCCCTTTGGTGTCTGTACCCTGTCTTTTGGGTGTCCCTTGGGTGTTCCTTGGGTATCCTTTGGTGCCCTTGGGTATCCCTCCCATGCCCCTTGGGTGTCCCTCCCGTGCCCCTTGGGTGTCCCTTGAGTGTCCCTTCCATGTGTCCTATGGTGTCCCTTTGGTGTCTCTTCCATGTCCCTTTGGTGTCTCTTCCTGTCTTTTGGGAGTCCCTTGGGTGTCCCTTCCAAGTGTCCTTTGGGTGTCCCTTCCACGTGTCCCTTTGGTGTCCCTTTGGTGCCCTTGGGTATCCCTCCCGTGCCCCTTGGGTATCCCTCCCATGCCCCTTGGGTGCCCCTTGGGTGTTCCTTGGGTGTCCCTTTGGTGTCCCTTGCAAGGGACACCCAATTGGGTGTCCCTTCCATGTCCCTTTGGTGTCTCTTCCATGTCCCTTTGGTGTCTCGTCCCTGTCTTTTGGGAGTCCCTTGGGTGTCCCTTGAGTGCCGGAGACCGAATTTATTAAAACCTTCATTGACAGCTGCACCTGGCTAATTATTAACCACCAAGCGTCCCCTTGGTGGCAGAATGCTCAGTCAGGATGCAGTGGAGGGTCGAGCACAGGATATGGATAGGAAGGAGAAGGATAGAAATGTGAACCCAGGAAGAGTCAACACCAACCCACCAAGGATGAGGATGGCAGAGGATGAGGGAATGCAGTCAGCAGGGTGTGGGATGTTAGCAAGCATTGGCTTGAGGATATGGAAAGGGGGTGTAGGATGTATCCAACTGACTGGATGCATGTTCATGCATCCTGCACCTGCCAAGACTCCCCAAGAATGCAAGGATGGGCCGCCATTTTGACACCCTCCATTAGTGTACACTGATGTATATGCAGTGTGACCCACTAGATATTCATGGTGATTGATAGGGGATTTAATTATTGGCTACATTGGTGTAGCCATCGATGTAGCCATAGATATCTATGAACTCGCTAATCCATCTAACAGGTCTAAACCTGTTAGATCTCGCATTATTAGATCTAAGGTCTAGACCCAGACACATGTTGATGGTTTTCATGAAATTTCATGGTATGTTCACTGTTTCACAATCACTGTGATATATCACAGATAGGTATATATATATATATATATATATATATATATATATATATATAGGTATACCTATCTGTGATATATATATCTAGGTATATATATACATATATATACATTACCTATCCGGGAACTATAAGAGCTCCATCAGGCATTCATAACATAATGTTTTCATGGCTGATGCAGTCTTAATGCATACTTATATGACATACTTACATAAAACCGCTTAATCCCAGTGTAAGAATGTTTAAGAATGCACCCACGCCGACATTCTTATCATTCTTAAGGCCTTGAAAGCTATAGGACCCAATGGAAGCCAATACCTAGGTATAGTGCCCCCACCTTCTCTACCAGGTGCAATCATTCTGTTTTGAAGCCAAAATGGTGTTGTCCTATTACCTACATACTGCTATGCATGCCTAAGTACTACGTTTACCCCTTTGCTTTTGCTTTGTCCCATAGACTTCTTGCTGCATGCTGGCTTTGAGGAGAGCTTGGAAGGGCTGTTGGCGCAAGGTATGCAAGGGGTTGCAGTATGGCTGTGGGATGAAAGCTATGGCCTGGCCTCGTTGTTTCATGCGCCATCATTGTATGTTCATGGTCCTGGGTTGTGGTTCTGGTTGGAGCAAATATTTACTGCATTGACTTGATGAAGTACTACACCACAGAGGCTGTGAGCTAATTGCTCAGGCACGACAGCACTGCTGTGAGTCTCTCCTTTTACCAAGCCAATGCCCATGGCTCTGGTTTGGAGCATGTTACAGTCACATATAATGCTCTGGACCATTCTAAGACACGCAGCTGACCATACACCCAAGGCCATTGGCCATTGCTCTTGGGAGTGAGGCACCTGTCCCTAGATGACTGTTCATGTCTATTCATCTCCCTGCACGATTTCTGCTGCTGCAGGAAGGTCCGAGTTTGTCCTCGTCCGCTCCAGCCCTGGTGAGATGGGGAGAGTGCACTCCGAAGCCTTGATGGCAAGCATTCGGTCCAAGTGTTGCACCCCCGTGCTCATCGTGGAGGTGAAGGCAGCTGTGGATGTCGAAAAGCACCTATGGCAGCCGCTGGCTACTGTGCTTGAGCTGGCAGAGGCAAGCGGCACAGAGGAGCCAGTGTGGTTGCTGCTCACGGACATGCAGACGTGGTACTTTGCCAAGGTCCAGCGTGCGGGGCCACGGCCACAAACAAATGAGCAGGGTGCAGCAGCAGCAGCTGCACAGGCACCAACTTTGGTTGTGCCACAGGACCCACCTGCCAGCCCGATGCGAGCCAAAGCGAGCTTGTATGTGTACTCCATACAGCTGTATGAGCATATCTATGCTGGCTTGAACACGACTTACAGCTCAGATTACTACCAGGTGTGTGGGATGAAGTGATAAGGATAGCATAAGGATGTGTGTGTGTCAGGGCACCAAATCTGTGGAAAGACGCTGGTGAAACTCTGGGTATCGGTGTGGGGTCCATAGGACCTCGTGTGCGACATTCCCTTTTCCTCTGCCAAACTTGCCTTATCCCTACACTGATCTGTTGCTAAAGTGCTCACATCTTGTTACTTCACATCTGCATGTATGCCATCCTCATTTCAAAGCTTTTATGTCATGATGCAATCCACCAAAGACGTTTTGCAGGGGAACATCATCCTTAAAAATATTTTGCCTGCCGGTTTCTGGTTGTGTATAATAAGTGCTGCCCCTCCCTGCACTGCCACAGGTGCTGGAGCAGTTACTGAAGATCATGTACCCCGGCCTGGACCTGCGGGAGCTGCCAACACGCCAAGATGCTGGCCAGGAAGTGATCAACTCGCAGACAGAGAGCTGGGCCAAGGAGTCCCTGGCGAATGCCAAGGTGCGGTAGTTGCCTACAATCAATGCCAAGGCTGTTGTGCTTTAGTGACTGTGGTGCTGCTCGATGCCAAGGCAGTTGTATGCCATGTCAGACAGCGGCAACTGTGTTCACTTCATTTTGTATTGCAGGCTGAGCTCCACTGGTGCGAGACGGGGCGCCAGTAGTCATACCATGATCCAATGCTGTGTGGTGTGTTCTCCTTCTTTATCTTAACAGTCAGTGCTGGTCTTGTACTGTCATACTGCGGACTGTGTGACCCGTGTTCAACTGGCGAAGTCATCTGCCTTGTGTCAAGGTTTAAATGGATGGTGATGTTGTTTAATGTGTTTGGGTGCCTTCATCATGTGCTTGCCTCCTCAGAAAATCGCTAACGCCAAAGACTTAGCGGTGAAGAATGCAAAGCTGGAGGTGAAGAATGCAAAGCTGGAGGCGGCGGTGGCAGCGGCCAAAGACTTGGCGGCAGAGTACGCAAAGCGGGCCACGGCGGCCGAAGACTTAGCGGTGGAGAACGTAAAGCGGGCCGCGGCGGCCAAAGACTTAGCGTCAGAGAATGCAAAGCTGGTGGCGGAGAACGCAAAGCTGGCTGTGGCGGCGGCGGCGGCCAGAGACTTAGCGGTGGAGAACACAGCACTAATGCAGGTGTGGCAGGCACTGCATGCACACACTGTAAAACCGCAAAGCTGCAACAAGCACCGGTCCAATTAGCAGCTGCTGCTGGACTGCAGCATAGTGCTGGTTTACAGAACGAGTAGGGGGCAGGCGGTGGCAAACACTGATGCAGCTGGCGCTGCTAGGCCACAGGATAGTGCCGAAGGTGCAATGCTGCCGGCTGGTTGGAGGTGGCAGTGCCGGCTGTTTGCATCAAGGCGCTGCCTGGCTGCAGCATAGCGCCTGCGATGCGTGACGAGGGCTGGCTGGAGGTGGCAGCGCTGGCTTATTGTCCTTCTTTGTAGTAACAGTCGGTGCATGTATTGTTGTACTGCAGATTGTGTGACCGTATTTGACAACACTATGCTGAAACGACCTCTCCCTGTGTAAAGACGGTCAAAGTAATGGTGATATTGTTAAAAGCATTTGGTACCTCCATCATTGCTTGCCTCCCCAGGAAATCACAGCATTGCGTACGCAGCTGGCGTTGCAGGCGAGCGCTGCAGGACAGCCATGCTGACACAATCACCGGCCCCTCCAGCGGCTGCTACCCAGGTTTGCAGAACAAGTGGGGGGCTGGCGGTGGCAAACACTGGCGCTGCTGGGCCGCAGTATAGTGCCGATGATGCAAGGTAGTAGGCTACCTGGAGGTGGCAGTGCCGGCTGGCTACGTCAAGGTGCTGCTTGACTGCAGTATAGTGTCTGCGATGCATGACGAGGGCTGGCTGGAGGTGGCAGCGCCGGCTGGCTATGTCAAGGTGCTGCTTGGCTGCAGTATAGTGTCTGCAATGCATGACGAGGGCTGGCTGGAGGTGGCAGCGCCGGCTGGCTATGTCAAGGTGCTGCTTGGCTGCAGTATAGTGTCTGTGATGCATGACGAGGGCTGGCTGGAGGTGGCAGCGCCGGCTGGCTATGTCAAGGTGCTGCTTGGCTGCAGTATAGTGTCTGCGATGCATGACGAGGGCTGGCTGGAGGTGGCAGCACCGGCTGGCTGTCATCGAGCTGCTTGGCTGCAGTATAGTGTCTGTGATGCATGACGAGGGCTGGCTGGAGGTGGAAGCGCCGGCTGGCTATGTCAAGGTGCTGCTTGGCTGCAGTATAGTGTCTGCAATGCATGACGAGGGCTGGCTGGAGGTGGCAGCGCCGGCTGGCTACGTCAAGGTGCTGCTTGGCTGCAGTATAGTGTCTGCGATGCATGACGAGGGCTGGCTGGAGGTGGCAGCACCGGCTGGCTATGTCAAGGTGCTGCTTGGCTGCAGTATAGTGTCTGCGATGCATGACGAGGGCTGGCTGGAGGTGGCAGCACCGGCTGGCGGCATCGAACACGCTGATTGTGCTGGCGGCGTGGCAGGCCTGGCTAACAAAAGCGGCAATGGCCCACTGCAGTTTAGAGCCTGTTGTGTTGGACACAAGGGCTGGCTGCCGGTACCAGCGCCGGCTGGCTGCAGCAAGGCACTGCTGGGTTGCAGCATTCCGCAGTTAGTGCTGAGGAGGGCTGGTGATAGTCGGCACCTGCCGTTTGGACCATTGTACCGGCGGTGCAGTACCAGGGCTGGCTGGTGGTGACAGCACTGGGTTGCTTTGGCAGCAAAGGCCGGCTGCAGTGTAGTGCCAGCAGTCGGTGGCTGTCGGTGGTTGCCGGCTGCCTGCAGCAAGGCGCTACCGGGCCTCAGCATGGTTAGCGTGAGCAGTAAATGGGCTATAGCAGTCTCCGTGCTTGCAGTATGTCTGGCCTTCAGTGTGGGACTGGGCTAGGTGCTGGTGGGCTCCATGCTTGCGGTATGTCTGGCCTTCAGTGTGGGACTGGGCTAGGTGCTGGTGGGCGGAGGTTCAGGTTCGGCTTGGGCTCGGTGTTCGGCATGGCAGCCATGCCGTGCTGTTGAGTCCTTTTTGTAATAGTCGTTGCATGGGGTAGGTTGTGTCACGCCTTAACAAGTTAGCCAGTTGTTGGGAAATGGTGCTGCAGGTAAATGTTAGGTTTTTGTAATATATCAGGTACTATAGTTCAAGGACGTGGCTTTCCTGGACATGGTGATAGTGGTCCCCAGCCTTTGTGCATGCAGAGATTCTAGTAATCCAGCACAGCCCCTGCCCACTGGTTTGGCTCCTGTGCTGAGTGCTGGCTGGCAGGGGGTGGTGCAGGTGCCGGTGTGGGCTGAGGCAACCACTTGACGGGTGCCGACAAATGGGGTGCAACACAATAAACTCTGCACGACCCGTTTGCTAGCACCCTTGATGTACAGACCGCTGTCAGGGTATGCAACAGCTCTCTTGCAGGATGCCAATGTCAATACTACCTTGGGTTTTAGGGTTGACCCTAAGATGCGAATTGTGATGAGTGTACACTTTGTAGAGGTGGACCTGACTAGCAGATACGGTTGCCTTCCACTCTGAAAATGTACTGATTCGCTTCTGTTTGCCTGGCTTTGGCTGTGTCGAGAATGGTAACTCATGTGTGAGGCCTCACAGCCTGAGCTGCATCGGGGTTGTTGTCTGTTTGCCCTGCGTGCTTGCAAAGAGGGCAAAGTCAGGGCGGGCCATGCCAATCCTGCCCTGACTGCAAAGATAACTCGGGTAGGCTACCTGGGAGGGTTAGGTTAGTACGGCGGGTGGGTTAGTACGGCGGATGGGTCAGACAAATAGACAGAGAGAGACAGACAGACAAAGAGAGAGAAACAGACAAAGAGAGAGAGACAGACAAAGAGAGACAGACAAACAGGCAGACAGACATACGGACAGGCAGGCAGACAAACAAAGAGAGACAGACAGACACAAGACAGGCTTCCGGCATTAACGTCCTCAACGATGAGGTTGATCACGACAACACTCCGACAGTTGTTGTTGCTGCTATATAGATCCCTGTCAGCGTTACTTTGACGTAATGACCCGTCAACTGCAACCCCACAACCAACCTTCCACGCATGTCAGCTCGTAGGGGCAAAGAAGGAAATCTAAAACCCCAAAACCCTAAAACCCCAGTTGGGGCCATGTGGCGCCACTCACCCACCGACAGCTCAGAACCTGGGCGCTGCTCCCACCACCACCACCACCACCACCACCGGGCATCGACGGCGATGCCGACGGTCCAGGAATAAGCATCCCGAGCAGTTTCCCCGCTGCCGACATCACAACAGAACAACACCGCAACCGGGTCGACAAAGCCCCTCGGGGGCCCCCACCGCCGCCGCCACAGCCGCCACCGCTGCTGCATCCAGCATCTACGGGGGTGTCAGCGGCCGTGGCAGCGGCGGCGTCAGGCCCCACTGCTGCTGCTGCTGCCGCCTTGCCATTGGAAGTGGTTGTTGCGGTCAGTGCCAGTCCGTGGTTCCATGACGTCCAGGCAAACCACTCGAGCTGCTCCGAAACCCCCTTGGCCCCTTACGGATCGCAACTTGGGGATTGAAGCCCTTCCAGAAGTTAGTCTATCCCCACACATTCAAATTCGGCAGTCACCCATCTGAATACACGATCATGCAAGGGAGGTACGGCAGGTTACAACTGCAGCCCTAAACCCTGGCTGACGAAAGAGGGTTTGCCACCTCATCGTATAAACGTCGTACAGGTGCAAAATAAGGGAGGAACACATCTCGCAATTGAAATATTGCAACAGAGGGCCGCCGCCGGGTGTGTTCTCTGTGTAGCTTTTTCAGTCCTCTGCTGACTGTGCGTTTGGTGTGTATTTTGCCCGTACATGGCGGTTTCTGAGGGCACAGGTCTAGTAGGATGTCTAGTCCCTTGTCGAGGGTTGTTTGGAGCATTGCTGCCGCAATCTCCACATCGACCGCAGTGATGCTGTCGTGGCCGCGAAGTAGTGTCATCAAGCGGGTGGCTGTCATATCCGTGGGGTCCTCGATGTGTTTCGCGAGGCCAGCCTCAATCTCCTGGACGGCGGGGCGGAGGTATTCCTGGAGGCTGAGGATGTCCGACGTGAGCGAGGCATCCATCTTCGATTGCGCTGCGCGGATTGTGGTATTCGGAACCGGCAGTATCACGTTTTTCCATTTAGTCCGGGCCCCGTCTCCGTCTGGGTTGTTTGGGGTCGCCGGTTTCTTGGCGTCCCACAGGCGGTGTAGCAGCTGACCGCTGAAAAGGTCTCTCGAGATGCTGGTGGTCGCGCTCTGCGCGTATTTATAGCACCGTACTGTGTACCGGCTGCTACAGGCGGATGGCGTCGGCGGGCAGGCGGGCGTGAACGGTATTATGGTTGAAGTTTCCACCGGCGACAGAAACATTGCAGTACGCTTGTGGCGTGTTCCCGTTTGCGGGTATCTCCGCTTTTACACTCGCGTGTAGGGTGGGGCACATCAGGATATCGTCTATTCGGCTTTGGTGTGCACAGCATTCCTTGATCCACTGCTTGAAGGACGGGTGGCGGGGGGAGCAGTTTTCAGGGACCGGTGTGAGCGTGTTATCGGTGATGAATTTGAGGTGTAGTCGGTCTGCTGTATCGAGCAGGACTGTACTGCGGTCGTCAGGATTCAGAACGGCATTAAAGTCTCCGGCCAGGGCTACGTGTTCCCCGTTATTCTTGGCCTGTCTTAGAACTGTCCGGCAGTGCGCGTATATGGTGTTCGAACTAGGGTGTCTTCCGGACAGTAAATTCCCAGCACATGTAGGGGGGTACTTGCTGACGTGGAGATCTTGCAGTGGCACAGGTGCCCATGTAGCAGAGGCGGCGGTGGTATGTGCGTCACTTGTCCTGCACGGGTGTAACGAGCACCGATAGCAATTGCGACACCTGCTGAGTAGCGATCCTTGCCATAGCTACGTGGTTTCGAGCTGCAGTAGAGCCTGTATCCCTGCGGTTCTTTGCGTAGGGCGTCCTTCATCCATCCAGTGCGGTTGCCGGTTTTGGTTCCGTCAGAACAATGATATTAGCATCCCATGTCCACACATTACACAGTGTACTGAGGAAGTTCGTCGCCAGTCCTCGCACGTTGTGAGTGACAATGTGCAGGTACCGATGGTCCGTTTTATTGCGGTGTTCTGAGGGATTTGCGTTCTCCGGGTGTGGAGATGTGTTGTTGTTTACGGGAGTGGTCGACAGTCTTGGGCTCTGGGTGCTGGGTTCGCTGGCGTTCCCATTCTCCCTTGTTGTGTGTATCGTTTCCCCGGGGTGATCAGCCCCGGTTGGGTTGGTGCGTTTGTTGGCCCACCGCCGGAGATGGTCCATGATCGTCAGCGGTTTGGGTCTGTTGCATTGCGCGTCCGTGGGTTGGGTACGCGGCGGCTTGGCTCGTACCCTGGTTTCCGTGGTTCGGGTAATTTCAGTGTGCCCGGGATGTCGCTCTTGGTGGGGGCGTTTGCGCGGATCTCCCTCTAAAGGGGGTGGGAGAGGCGCGGCTGTCAGATTGGGTGCTGGTCGGTGGTCATTGTCGTGTGCAGTCGGCTGCGGTGGTATCCGCGTTCCTGGTGGCTCAGTTAATGTTCTCCCCGTTTGGTGGGCTAGTTGCGCTGCACGCAGGTGTTTGATCTTCCGCTGCTTTTGGCCTTGTGGTGCCCTCGTTGCTGTGCACGTGGTCCCGTTGGGTGTTGTTTGGATCTCCGTGTTCTCGGTGTGAGCTGTGCACATCCAGGTGTCCGGGGGGGTTATGTCTCTCAGATCCACATGGGTTGCCGTGGGTTCTGTGTGGTGCCGAAGGTTTAGGGTGTATATTGCGCCGGTTTCACGTGGCCACGTGGCGTTTTCGTCACCGAGTTCCATAGGTTGCGGTTGCAGAGAGTCGTGAATGACCACCGGTCCTTGTGCTTTCATACTGCGATTGCACGGCCTGTGAGGTGTACGATGAAGCCCCAGTTGCGTGCGTGTTCTGGCAGCTGATGTAGTACACTGCTTAACGTCGCGTTGGGTTTTATTTCCTGTCCACTCCCTATGGAGGCAACATGTGGGTGTGCGGGGTCATTTCTTTGCTGTGCAGTTCGAACCGGCACGTTGTAGCGGAGGTACGGATTAATTGCCAGCGTTGAGAATTTGCCGGTGTTTTGGTTGTGGGTTAGTCGCCATGTTCGGGGCGCCTCATTATCTCGGGGGCGGAGTCTCCATTCCAACTGGCGATCGTATTCGGTGTAACGACGCGGGTCATTGCGGCACCCACCAGCGTGTTCTGCGGAATCGCCAGGCCGACTATCAGGCAGATGTTTATCAGCCAGCGTGCATGTCCCCTCAGCTCCGGTATGAGATTTAGCCCTTTATCAATTGCGGGGATACTGATCGCCAGAATGGGGGCCGTCGGGGCTGCTGTGGTGAGTTGTAGGCATAACATGACCAGCGCGGCCGCTGACACTATCATCTGCCTAATCGCCCCGGGGTGCTGACATGCCCATGCGTCAGCAGTATGGATCGCACAGGCGAGAGCGAGGTCGATGGCTGCTGGTACGGCGCAGCTTGCTATTCGTTTGGTGAAGTGTCGTACTACCCAAATCAATCCTACCGTTTGCACTACCAGGGAGATTGCGGCGTCCAATGGCCATATCGCTATCACGAGTGCTAGGGGGCCCCAAAGTATAATCATGAGGAGAACTGCGTTACTAGTCTGAGGTATCATTCTCCACGCGTTCATACCTCGGCGTGTGGTGGTTCTGCAAATCTTAAGTACGGCACACAGGACTCCCATGCTTGCTACAGCCATACATACAATGAGCAGGCGGCTGGCAGAGGTTAAGGCCTGACTTCTGCTCCCAG